GCTGTAATTGGCCTTATTTCCACATGAATAGAGCATGAGTCACAGTCAGTGGATGTTAAAACATATTTTTAAAAATATCGTCTTTATGCTTGGCCTTTTAGCGTGCAGTGCTGCAGCTTTTAATATGGTGCCTATTTTGGAAGGAGAAGTATTATCTAACTTATTTCGTTTTCCCTGTCTCTGTAGTCCAAGCCTGGAGTATGCTTTGTGCCGGTCACCACAACAGAGTGAGGGCCTGTGATGCGTACGGCTGTGGAGCTTTTAACTCCCAAAGGTGACTAATCCTGATCAGATCTTTATCTCAGAGCCCTCAGAGGATTACTCATACTGCAACATGCAGACGCTGATACTGTCCCATGTCTAGTTTTGTATAGTATCCAAGCCTGATCCCTACAATGACAAAGCACATTTTTACCAAACCACTTGGAATTAATGATGAGTGAAGCTTTGTCTGGGTAGAAGGCTGACTTTCTGTAGACAAAGATGTCCAAATAACTAGTCAGACATTTTTGTTCTGGCCAGATTAAGATGACTAATTGAATCTAGCCATTTCTGATGGCAAACTAATGCCAGTCTCCACTGTCACATGTCTTTTTACAGAGGTAATGGCCTTTATAAAGCAGTGGACCTTGTATGTGATGACTATTCGATCATCAACACACCATTTTCAGGCTCTCTGGCCGGTCCAGTGAGTCGGAAAGACCCAGCTGGTTATCAGTTTGATGGAGTCAAACTTCTCAGTGATGGTAAGAGGGACAAGATGCTAGCTGCTAGCATCTTGTGCTAGCAGCTAGCACAATACCTGAAAGTTAGCAAAGCAAGGAAAATTACAGTGTTTTTAAAACTGTAGATGTGAGTCTCAATCAAAATAAACAGGACAAAGACTTTGCGGGTCTTTACCGATTCCTGTACCAGATAAAGACCGATTTCAGTAGATATTTAGCACATCATTAGGACGAATCAGTGACTGCATGAATAGCTGTACCCAAACATACGTCAAATCATCCAGTACTTGTCTAAATATTTCAGTTGGAACCAAAGTGACAGACCAGTCAAATGGCCTACCAGAATATCATTCAAAGACCCATGTTGTTAGTATGGCCATAATGGCCATAAGTATGCAAGTCTGTTTCAATTTTTAAAAAATTCAATTTAGAAGTCCCTTGAGATATTTTTATAACTGAAAATAAGCATAAACCAGGTTTAATTAAATCCTTGTAACCTTGTAGTGTTGCCTGTGAATTCCTTTAATCTACTGTATAGTTCCATGGCTAGGGCAAAGGCGAGGTTATGCTATTATGGTAGAGGCATTGCATGAGAATGAAAAGGAATGATTTAAAGGGATTAGTTAAGGTGCTGAAACGCGAGCGGAGACTGCATTGACCTCCTGGTAGCCCCTAAGATCGGGGTCTATGTGAAACCCCACTAAAGGCTGTTCATGAGTAATGACCCCCCATAAGGGCCATCATTAGAGAAAAAAAGGGAATGCATCTGTGTATGTGACTAAAATACATGTATTCCTTTGCGGTGTATACCTATTTGTATGTGTATATGTGCTCATGCGTGGTAATGTGTTTTGAGACCATCCTGAGCTGATAAGGTGCTGGAATGATGAGTAAACATCATTAGTCCTCATTCTGCCTCTCGCCTTATAATTGAACTGTATTATCAGAAGAACACATGTACTGTCAGCTCCTTTCATCTCCGGGTAAAGCACAGACATGATTAGACATCACAGAGACACATTACCTCACCGTGATGCCCACATTAATGCTGAGACACTGATCATTAAGTGCTTTTAAGATTTAATGATGTTGGTGACTTTGCTGTAGAACTACTTTTAGGTTGTTTGTTTCTAGGTTGGCAGCCGGCTTGTTTAGGTGGATGGTAAAGGCGAGAGCTAAGGTTTTTTTTAGGGTCTTGAGCCTGCATTTGTAACATTTGTAAATTCTGGAAGAGGATTTTAGCTGCACAAGTGAACTATTCATATGCCAACGATAAAGTGAATGCTAAACCCACCTTACCACAGCTATATCCTTCAGCCAAACTAGGGAAATAAGCTAACAGGGTAAAACCACAAGTTGAAAGTCTTGGAGTTTCAGGCACGAGCTTATTACCAAGCCAACCTTCTTCCATCTTGGGAATATTGCCAAAATCCACCCTTTGCTCAGTCCGAAAAACTTGTTCATGCACTCATCTCTTTTAGTTTGGATTACTACAATGCACTTTTTTTCTGGTCTTCGACTTAATCAGAATTCTATTGCAAGCTTAGTAACTAAAATGCATAACAGAGGGCACTAGTTTTATTAGAGCTACACTGGCTTCCCAATTCTACAGACTTGATTTAAAAATGCTCTGACTTTTAAAAAATCAAAAAGCCAGACTCACACTCTTATCCCCCACACCCATCTGTCAGATATCCAATACTCCTCATAGAGAAAAACTGGAAATACAGCCATTTTGCTCTCAATTTCTGGATCAGACTGCTGGAAAACACTAAGGAAGCAAACTCTACAAATAACTAGAGTTAACAAGCTCAAAATGAGGCAGTCACATTCTGACAGATACAGAGCATTTTCCTCATCAGTTTCACATGTGATTGATAGCAAGTTATAAAACAGTAAACTCAAACTCTTTGGTGTGTAGTCAATAAGCACTTTATTCAGCTGAGTTAGCTTAAGTCATTGATTTGTCTGAGCATTTTTTAAGGATGATATTAAGGGATTAATGCCCACAAAATAATTCATTTATATTTGTTTTGGTCCCATTTAGTACACTGCGTGAAGATCTTCAACATCCGTCCTTATCGTTACTCCGGCCCGGTAACTCAAGGAGAGGCCTTGGGCTATTTACTGCCACTGCAAGAACAGTTCCCTGGCATCACATCACACCTGGAGCTGCAAATGTGTGATGGTACTGATCCTTCACCCTTCATATAAACCTTTATTTCCATGTGTTATACAACTGAGGCACCGTGCGTCCTTGTCTTTTTTACGTGGTGCATGCCCCTGCATATAAAATCCCTAATGCTAATAAGAATTTATATAGACTTATTTGCTTTCCGATTTCTTACTATGAGCAACTTTTACTTGGCTACTCTGACACCCATTTGTAAGTGTTAATTCTTCTTATTCTCTATTATAGCCATAAAAAAATGTTGGTCTCTATTTTTACAATAACTTAACAAAGATGCATTGTATTGTTTTTCTTACAATAACACTTATTTAAAACACATTTCTACAAACTTGTGATGACCAGCGTTACTATACTTGATAACTGTCTCCATTTCTCAGTTTTTACAACCATTTAATTTTTTTGTAATACTTTATATCGACTACAAACAAAAGGATGTTTTCTAAAAAGTCACGAGTCATATGTTTAACATTTTCCTTCTCCTTTTCTGTGAAAAATGTCCCATCACTCATAACCGCAACTTTATTTTTCAACAATGGAATAAATATAAAGTTTCATTTCTTCTTTTGTCTGAAGTGCTTTCTATTTCAAACCTAAAAATGAGACTGTCAAATATTTTCCCCATCTTAAAAATAGCAAGTTTATTCAACACAAACTTTATTCAATTTTTTTTAATTACCAATATCTTCCATCATATTCATCTGATATCTACAGATGGGGAGATTTTCCACATGTACAGTACTAATGTAATGAGTATGACACACCAAAAGATGGAGCTATTTTAAAACAAACCTGACACTGGACCTCAGCAGTCATCCTGGTCACATATCAGCAAAGAAATGTTGAACGTAACTGCAAGTATTCTGAGTTTGTACAAATCTAAATACTAAACAATAAACCATAGAGTGATAGTGTTGTGTTACCAGGATGGAAAAATAAATATTAACACATTTCCAGTTTACCAATCACATCATCTTATGACTAATAATCACATCGAGACACAGGATATCACATCATGTTTTAAAGTCTGATGTGTGCGTGTTAAGGCATTTCCCACTAACATATGACTCATTCAAGCATTTAAGGGTTTCTACCTTTGCATTAACAACTTGTTGGTGATTTCCAAAGAGCAGTTAAAACATGGCCTCCCCATGTTTTACAGGGGGCTCTAGATACTCACTGTTGTGCCCCTCTATTTACCTTCTCTGTACCTGCTGACAAGGATTTCATACAAAAGTGTTCAGTTTAGGTTCATAAGACCTGCTACCACTGGTTTTCAGACTAATTCTTGTGTTATTTGGCATCCCTCAGCCTTTTCTCCCCTTCCACTGAGATCATTTCTTGCGAGACCTCTGCAGACAGTAGATGTATCAAGTGAGGGCCAGATGGATTTCCCACGACCTGTGTCAGGTCTTTTATGGATTTCTTTCTTTTTTCTTTATTTCCTGTTTCCTAAATACATAACTTTCAGACACTCATGTCTAGATATTTCTAGGCCTAACACTTCAATTTTGTGTTATCTTTGGAAATTTTCGGAGATTTAACAAAAGAAATGGAAGAAAATTATGTTTTGCTAGTAACTAAGTGTCTTAAAAATACAATTTAAAACTGTTTTTTGGGGGGGTTTTTTTTGTTTTTTTTTGCTAAGTTTAGTGTTATATATAGACAGCACTGGTTCATCCCAAGAGTGCCTACCTCTTTGATGATTGGCTCAAGACTTTTGCACAGCACTGTATATCTGAACGATGTCCTCTGTAGTCTGTAGTTAGCATATGAGTAGAAAAGTAAGCTCAGACTCAAGCCAACTGATTCAGACATCTGCAGCTCAGCTGTATGCACAGTGAGACAACATACACTCTTAACTGTCATTTAAATTGCATCATGGTTATTATATTGCTAATGGAGAGCGGTTCATCGCAAAGAAGGCGAACATTCAAAGTTGCGACAGAGAATTGAAATAAATAGAATTACAATTTAGTGAGAAATGGGCAAAGTTCGCTCTCCTTAAGTGCTCTTGAGCACGCTGTTTTTGAGTGCTGTCATATTGATTAAAGACTAACATCTAGCTCTAAGTGTGCAGACTGAAGCCCGAGTGTTCCTGCAGACTGTGGTTTTGCTCTGAAGCTGGAGGGTTGGTCCACGAAGCGTCCCAGTTGCTCAAATGGGAGTAGGCGAGCTGGGATAGGCTGGGAGTTTGGTCGGGGCAGTCAGCGGGTCGGGACAAGGCATGAGAAAGGGGGGGAAAGGAAGAACCGATTATTAACTTCTGGCTTACGAGAGTCTGAATGTTGGACAGGAAATTTTGACGTGAGCAGCTTGACGGGGAGAAAAAAAGGCGTTTGTTCAGATCGATCCCAGCCATTCGGATGACAAAGAAGCGTCGCAGTGTAAACTTTTTCAACCGGGTGTGAACGCTCGAAACAAAAAAAAAACCCGACAGGGATATCTGCTTTTTTTTTTTTCAACGGATCCGTAAAAAGAAGGGGACATCATGCCACGGCGCACCGTGCAAGAAGTAACTGTTCAAGATGTCCAGAAGCGGAGGAATCCGAACAAACACTACGTAAGCCTTTTGTGTAATTACCACAGCCGTGTGATTTGCTGCGTGAAATGTGCAACAGATCGCGGATATTCCGCAGTCTCCCCCTTTGTCCTGTCGGGAAAAGTAAAAAAAACAAAGAGAGTGTCAAATTACAGCTGACCAAATCAGCCGAAACGGTCAAGCAGACTTTATTAGAATATGATTTCTGAAAACTTCAGGTCATGCTCAGACTATTTCAATCTGTTGGGATCTTTATTCTTAAGACTAGTAACGACCGACATCAAGATTTACGCTGTTATATTTCAGCAACCTGTGCAGTGACCCAAAGTCAAAAGCTCTTGTGTTGTTATCGTTTTTCAGATTGTTTTTGACCTAATAAAATGCTCATTTAAAAAAACGTGAGGATATCATTAAGAAGCATTCGAGTGGACCGACTCTATGACTCTGTGACCTATGACCCCTTTTCTCAGTGTGCATTTTTTTTAAGTGACTCCCAGAACCACATGCATGTGACCGTAGCCATTGCAGCACCTTACCACTGAAGACTGCAATGGTGGAAGAGCCCAAGAAACATAATAATATACAGTCAGCCCAGTCCCCTAACTATCCACACTGGTTAGTTGCCACTGGTAACCAGGAAGTAGGCTATGACTAACATTTATGACAGGGTTTAAAGGCTGAACCCCATGTAGCATTTATTGGTTTTAAGACTGTGTCAGATATTGTCATTTTTTTTTATTATTATTTTTAAAAAAATATTTTTATTTTTAGTATAGAGAGTTGTGTGTTTCTTTTCCGGTCAACAGTTGGCGAAAGGGAGGGAAAGAAGATGAAGAACTTGGGAATAATTTTCTTTTCTTAATAACCAGACCTTGTGTGGGAGACGAGAATGTCATCAGGACAAAGCCTCTTTTTTTCATAAACAGTAGAGCTTTTATTAGTGACTAGCGAGAGCTAAATGTGGGTGTATTTGCCTGCAATCCTGCACTTAGTATAAAGTCACACATATGACATCACTTAGTGTAGTTAGCCAGAGAAAGAGAGAGAGTCGCAGCCAAGGCCTTAGCAGGTGTTTGTGTTAGTTCCGTGTACATGTTGTGTCACTGTGTGTGTGTGTGTGTGTACTTGTATGCATCCATATGGGTGTGCAAATTTAAACCGGGGGCTAAAGGACCAGCAGACCTTGTACCGCTGTGAGTGTTAGTGGTCAAGGGCGCAGAGTTCTTGTGGTCCTGTGTCTTCTCCATCTGTTCGTTCAGTCTCTGGTGTACTGTTATTTTATGCCTTTTCTCTCTTACACAGATCTCAAGGTTCCGGGAAATTTAAAGTCTCAGGTCTGAACATGTAGCTTGAATAGCAAAAAGCTGTGTAAGGCTTGTCTGCTCACCAGAGTTCAGTATATCCTATAGAATTTCTAACACAAAGCTCTAATTCTTAAGAGATATCTGCAAATATCTAATGGCAGAAGTTTTTCTTTGAACTTGGAACTTTAATTAGGAGGGTTAGTTATGTTTTTTGTATCAGCTCCTGTTTCCTATGAGTTGCTGCAAATTAGTTTGGATAACAAACATTTCTTAATTAGTTTTATCTGCAGCAAGGACACAACAGGATATCTTTGCACTGATTAGTTTTTCTTCTCATTGATGAATAATTTCATTCTAGTAGTTGGTCAGACAGAACCTGAACTAGTCTTTTTGGGGAATCTTTTTTTTGTTTAATGAAGATGGCCTTGCTGCTTGTCCGTACAGCTCCCGTAGTTGATCAGTCCATCGTAATATCGGATTCGAGTCCACAGAAAAAAAGAGAATGAGGCCTGAAAGGGTCTGGGATTGGGGCCAGCAGCATTTAGCCAAACACAGCAAGCCACAAGGGTGTTTCCGATCACCTCCCTGCCTCTCCCCTTTCATTCTTTAAAGAACCAAATCAAAATCTGCTGCTGTCCCCTAACTCTTGACATTATTTAAAGTGCATTATGATTTACTGTTTTAGATATATGTCTGATTGAAGTTGCAGCTGCACCTACACAGTTGTTCTCCTTTTTCTAACCTAGTGCTGCCCATGTTAGAAAGGTAGCACAAACTTTGTGGGTTTATTATTATTATTAATATTAGTATTTCACTCTTCTGCATGTATACAGGACAATTATGTTTTCTACAGCAGGAAGTGATGTAACTCCACTAGGAAGTGAAATCATCTGATATCCTTGTTCTTTTCATGTGAACGGATGATGACATTGGGGGCTTTTCATTAGCGTGACTCCTGACTTCCCGCACTCAAGTCTGTCTTAGCTCCTCCCAACTATGGCATGTGGTAGATGTGATGGAGGAAAGGAGAAGTTGGTGGTTTCGGGGTGTCTTAAGTGGAGCAATTTGCTCATAATGGATGGAAGTGTGGCATTTAAATGTCACGCCACAAGACGGAAGACTTCTGTGTAGGACGCACCTGTGTTTCCTTGTGCAAGGTTTCTCTGAAAGCCTCCTCTTTCTTTATCTCCTTGAGGTGCATTTAAGGGACCGGAGAGCAATTCTTGGGTCACTGGAGGCAGTGGGATGTGGGGAAGCATATGTTACAGTAATGAAAACCACTCAGTGACAGCTGCGTGATGCTGCCAGAGAAATGGGATGTCTGCTATATGCAGCCCTCTCTAGGATTCATAACACTCCCAAATAATGGTAGTGACTGAAGAGTGATGCCCCAAGGGCTTTAGTTTATCACAATAATAGCTGTGCATTAGTTTCAATGTTATTTTCCTTTATTTTGCTTTGCCAGGTTTACATCATCAAAGTGTCCTGGAGCGATGGCAGTACAGAAACCATTTACAGACGCTACAGCAAGTTCTTTGACCTGCAGGTGAGTGAGCCACTAACTGTGTGCGTGTGTGTCTTCATTTTTGAGTTTCTTTTAATAGTCTTAAATGTGTTCTTTCACTTTTGTCTTTTTGGGGGACTTTTTTTTTTGTCTTGTGCTAGCGGACAAGTGCACAGGGCAGGAAAGGCATGGAAGCACTGTCTCAGTCATACAAGACTAGTACTCGTAGCCAGCCTCTCCCTGCTCCACCCTTATAACCCTGGTAATTATATTGTGCGAGACGAGTCGGAAAATTCCAGTGAAGTTAATAGAGGACAGTGATGAATGCGACTGTGGCACTGATGACCACAGAAATGTCTGAATCATTCTCAGACGTCATGGTGATGGTGCACGCTGCACAATGAGGGAGTCTTATTAGTATCCTAGTTTCCTTTTGTCTTCTTGAAGGTAATGGATCTGAGGGAGGTGGTGGTGGTGGTGGTGGGGGGGTGGCCCTGGCTGCATCAGAGACCAGAACATGGACTCCAGGAAATTCAGAAAGGCAATTACTTTTAATGAGCATGTAGTCAATTTCGGAAAGGCGTACTGTCGGCCCTAATTGGATTAAATTCCTTTTAATTGATTAAGATGGTCAATGCATGGGTAATGAAGTACAGAACTATAGTGCCTCACTGAGTTTTGAGGCTGCGTTTGTAGCATTTAACATACGAATGTGAAGTATTCATGTCATTCATTTGACTTGACCCCTAGTAAAGCTGCTAATAGAACCATTATCCATTAATTTTGTCTAATCCATACCACCTTTCTGTTGTTGACACAGTATAAAAGCATGGATAAATATGAGCATAATATTACAGATAAAGTCTCAAGGCTGCTCTTTAAACATCATTTGTATTGTATAAATGACTGTATATATGTTAGTCGCATTACAGTTGTGTAATTGGTCAACTACTACACACAACAGGCAACACTTTATTTATAACTCAGACTGTATCAGATCAGTGTTTTAGAATAAGAGCGTATAAGATGTGTTATTCAGCAGGGCGTGCCATGCCATTCCGCTGTTCCCTGGTGTGATGATGGTGGATTCCTGAGTGACTTCAGTGGTCAAGGGGATGTAGGTAAATCCTAGTAGAGACATAACAGATAATGGCTCATCTCTTGTATCTCTGTATGGTTTGGTACTAATATATAAAAGCCACATTAAAGTTTTGGCATTTCTTGGAGACAAGTAGAAAATTGTAATACTCTGAATATCATCAGTGTCACTATAAGTTTTATATCCAAATAAAGAGGCACCAAGTGCAACTGCAATGGGTGATTCCAGCTTTTTAAAGTCACCATGCAGCATTTATTCCAAGTTTTCTTTGACCAAGTTTAAACTGTACATTTTGTTTACAGCTGCATCAGGTTACATGACCTGCTGTCATGCTCCAGGTTATTGGGCTGACATTTTTTTTTTATACAAATAAAATTTAAAATAAAAAGAAAAATGAGCTGCAGAATATTTCAATTTCTCTACCATATGTTATAATTGCATTACTCTGTAATTACACCCCCAAAACACTAGTTGGTGGTGGTATTATTGGGATGCTATGTGGAGTATCTCGGTGTAATTCTCAGTGACTAAGCTAACCTTGTTGAAGTCGAATAGCTGAAATTACCACAACACAAAAAGAGAGCAGATTTGGAACAAGCTGAGTTTATACATGGTGGCAGTGCTATGAAAACAGCAGATGGTTGCCCCAGCAGATTACTCACTGCTGTGCAAGTGTCAGCATTAGCAACATTAGGAAGCCAATCAGTCCCAGCCCATCACATATTAACATGTATTGTGTTTTAAGGAAGAAAGGTCTCTGTGGGTATTAGTATGCTTTATATTGATTTCCATGATCACACGGTGTCGGTGTATTTGTATCAACTAAAGCAATCACACTAGCTGTTGTCTGCATTGCAGCGTCATGTTGCATATCTGGAGAGGTGCATGTCAAGCTGTAGGACATGTTAATTAGATTTCCTTGAAATTGAATATATCCAGTGACCAGTTGTGGCTAATCAGTTGGCTTATTCCGATCACTAGCACACTGATACATCCCCCATGTGTCTGATATATTTTTATATTATGTTATCATTTTTCTGTAATCTGTCTAACAGGTTCCTTCATAATGTCTTTCATTATGTGGCTTTGGCTTGTCTTGTAATGCAGATAATAATATATCTCTGGTCACTCCACAGCCTTAGTGTTATGCAGGAAGTGCTAGTCACCACATCCTGTCAACATAACTGCCCTAAGCAGCTGATTCTCTTTCTGCAAACACAGCAGCATGTGCTTTTTGTGTGGCTGGCACAGACTTTGTTGATTTTGCTTCACTAAGGGCTGAAACAAGATATAAAAGCAGTTTTCTCTATTATAAATATAAGTCTTTTGATGCATGCGCAAAATCAACAATATCAAGGCTGTTATTTACATATTGAAAATAAAGAACTAATCTTAGGATTAACCATGCAGCAGTAACAAAATAGCAAGTGTTTCTTGTTCCTGGCATTCTATCTTTGATCTGACAGATCAATTGCTCAGTTCTCTAAGGAAGAGAATAGCTGAGCAAGAGCCAGATGTTCTTGTCACCGAGGATATTTCTGCTACTGTTTTTTTTTTTTTTGCACCATCTAGAAATGGAGAATGTTTCTGTTTAATTAACAGCTTTTTTAAATAGATTTTTAACCGTGTTCTCATCAGACAGATTCGTCATACTCACAGTTTAAAAACATCAGCTGGGCTGTGACTTAAGCTATATTTACATTGAAAATTGTTACTCAGAGAAAATTAGAAGCCACAGAAAGCCTTTTTTTTTCAAATACAGTAAACATCCTCTGTCTGGGTAACAAACACTGAGCATGTGCAAACAGTTACTCACTGAACAGACAGAGGTGTGCCTCCGACAGGAGAGAAAGGCCTTGCACTTGTGCTGTTTTTGAGATTTTTTTCCTCAGAAAAACAAGAGGGTAAAGTTGCTCAGTCTACGGAATTAGTAGTTGGCAGTTGTTCCAGAAGTGAGAGGAAGGCCAGAAACGTCAAAAACGTGTTTAAAACTATAAATTCTATTTATTCTATTTAAAATCATGAATTGACCTAAATTCGGTCCAATTGTAAGAAGCTTAACATTCAACCACGAAACTTAATGTTTGTGTTCGGGAATGCAAGTAAACAACTTATAATGCACCTTAATCAAAAATAACAATGTGCTTTACGATCGTTTCTCCGCTTTTTGTAAAACATTACATTTGAAAATGTACAGATAATAACGGTTATTATGTTTTAGCATTAAACAAAACATTAAGCAAAACATCACTTAGAGTGTACTGTCTTGATCTTTGTCAGTTAGTGTGTCCGTGTGTGTCTTTGTGGAAAATATCATCCTGGATACACAATACAGTTTAGGGGCTTTTTTGTCTGTCTGTGGATACGTTTTTGTCAACATGATAGTGTCACAGCCATATAAGACACAATCTTGAAACATGACACATCTGCAGCTGAGCTCATGATCAGACGGGGTGGGGGCACTGGGCCTGGTGTGAGCCCATCCCATGGTGGCTTCTAGTTTCTCTCTCTTTTTTCAGTGCATTCATCCTAGGAGCTTTTCAGTTTGCTTCCATGTCACAAAGAACAGTTTCCATTCTGCACACGTGTCCATCGAGCTCTACGGGCTTCCTGCATTCCCGCTCCCCTTGGATAGTGGATATATTTCTACTTTAAAGCTTAAGGGGGGGAAAAAAAGAAAACATTATTTGCTTATTCAGAGTTGCACAGCTGTCACATATTTTCCATCTGCAGTAATAAACTCAGCTTCTTGAAACGGGGGTTGGGGGGGGGCAGATTATTTGACTTTGTAATACGAGGTTGCCTCTTGCAGCAACAATGTGATCATTTTTGTGTACTGTAACTTTTAATGTCCTCAACAGTTCATTTGAAAGAAGTAAACTGATGACCTGAGAGAATGAGATGGCTAAAACAAAAGAAGAAAAGTTTCATAAAAATGCTGAACTGAGTGTATCAGGATTATCTTGGGTAGATAAAAATAGACTGTTTTCATGTGTATATAGTCTATATAATCTTCCGGGTTCAGCTAAATGAATGCTAACAAAGCTAGCATTGATGTTATCATATTTGTTAGCTTCATTATGTTCTTGTGCAGATTCATCATTCTTGAAAATGGGAGAGGTTTCTTTAGCAGCATGGCACAGATCTCCAGAAAGTGAAGCTTTGAAATGGGAGCTCTACTCTGAACTTTCACCCCTGGCTTCTTGTCCATGTTGTTGTCTGTGAAATCACTATCTTTGTTCAGGATTACTCATTTTTGAAAAATGGCCTATTGTTAACTGCTGAAGAGATGGCGAGCACACTTATTTTTCCCATGTCCCATGTTTTCACTTTATACATTCGAGAAACTGAGGGATCAGAAACAAACAGAGCCTCTGAAAATTGGTATTGCTGTAATTTTGAATGTTTATAAGGAATTATCTGAAATTTGTTATAATATTTTTTTTAAAATGACACACATCATGGTGAACATTACATTGATACTGCACATACCTTCTATTTTGCCCATTGCCATCTTGATGTTTTTGACAAGCAAGACGAGGATCTGAATGTGAAGCTGCATGTTCCTTGAGTCAGTCACAAGTGATAGGAAGCAGAAGTTACAATCATCCTTTATATTGCTTATGGCTGAGAGTGCTAACAGTAGCCAGAGCAGGTCGCTGGGTAAACTAAGCCATCACACATAGTTACCGCATAGTCATTACCCCAAGCATCTTTTTCTGCATTAGAGAACAAGTGTTTATCCGTTAGGATTCTTCATTCTTCATTTGCCAAGTTACTGTGTTAGCATGCTTTCCTCTAATTACTTAGTATTAATTAGTCAGTGTTAGTGCTAATTACTATAGCATAATACCGTGGTTAACTTAAATACTTAAAAAAACACGAACAGGTTAAAGAACTCCACAAATGTGGATGGTAACAGTATGTTGCCATGAGAACAGTTTCCCCACAAAGGGTTAAAAATGGTTTCAGGCTTAATTATGCAGTGAACTGAGTCAGAGAATGTCAGGACTATTGAGACAAGCAAAGAGAGCAACAATTGTTCATGGACCTTTTTCATGCTCAACAGTCTGGAGCTTCTTAGGTCTTCTTTATTTGGTTTTTGATTAAATACTGGTGAAGTGGTTTAAAGGGACATAGACTAGACAAATTACAGTCCCTTGAAACATTATGTGACTGTAAATCTGCAAGCAAATGCTGGATGAAATAACGGTGTTTAAAAGATTGCAGGATCATAATAGCCTGGGAATGTAGCATGTAGACAATGTAGAGTTCTGTTCAACTGAGACCTCAGAGCACTTGTGATGCTTGCAGCTGTTACTGGTGTGTTAGTTTACTATTAATATTATTGTTATTCTTAACAGGGAGTCTGATTTAATAGCTTAAGAGGAAGCCTGTTGCACAGTGGTCTGGATCTTGCAAGATATATTAGCATGATTGTCTGATCTGAGGGGTTTGGGTGCAGAATAAGGCATTAAGACTTTGGAGCTACAAAGTGGGGCCATTTCATGTAATGATTTACAAGTAATCAATGAAATCTTAAATGTGTCTGTGTTGTGAATGGGACGGCAGTGTAATTCTGCTAGGACTGGAGTAATGCGTTCTCTGTCTTGCTGGCTGTATTTAACTGAAATCAGTTAAATACATCAGTTAGGCACATATGCAGTGAGTGGCAATAATCAGCAAACAGGAGAAAATGGTGCGGGGTTATGGATAGGATGTTCGAGTATGTCATTGAAGAGTATTGGTCTGACCTTGGAAATATTTCTAATCTGTACCAAAATGAACGTAAGATATGTTGTTTGAAGTCAAAGTGTAGACCAAGAGAGTCAAACTGTATTCAGTGTTTCCATTAAAGAGTTTCTTGACAGAATGTTTGCAGGATTTTTCCTTAAATTGTGGAGAATCATAATATTTTCTCAACACTTTTTATCAGGTGAAGAAGCACGTAGATTTGGTTGGGGGTATTTTAGATTTTGAAATGAACTTTTTTAAATAAATAAATGAATACATTCATTGTATTCCAAGTGCAGTGGAACAGGCACAGAAATAAAGTGCTTAATGTAGAACTTTGGACTTGCATATGTCTATCTATACAATACTAACGCATGACTGAGATAAACTCCCTAGCACATAACTGAAAAAACCACATTTTAGAAAGTTAAAACCATATGCAGCTTTCCTCTCCTCTGCCTTAGCCTGTCATCCTCACCCCTGTCGAGGATGGATATTTGATGTTGAGTGCATGATGTAAATGGTATGTTGAAGAGATGACTTTACTCGCTCCATATGCCTTTTCTTGTTTGACTGCCTCTGATTACAGAGGAGATACAAGTCTTAGAGTAGACACAGGGACTGGGGTGTGTCTGCACTCGCAGTCAGACACATGGGAACAATTACAGTGTGTGGGGTACTGGCTCCTCTGTTTCTCTGTCTCCTTCCCTCACTCTGTCTCTTTTGTCTATGTCAGGCCGTCTTTTTGTTTATACAGTCCTACTCAAGGTGGTACTGATTCACCGACTAAGCATCTGACTATTTGTCTTGTGATGCATTTCAAGAAAGTACGGAACTCCAGTAACTTGCTTGACTCGTGTTTTCTTACTATTCCTGCTTTTGTAGATGAAAGGGATCATTTTTCAGTTCCTTTTATTCGTTTTCATCATATAAAATACAGATTTAGCTTTACTGAGTATATTAGTTAAATTGCTGTAGCACCGTATTTTGCTTTGTAATTAAGCTTGTATTTTATGAACCAGTTTTTGGATTGACCTTCTTGTGATTTCAAGTTTTAAATTAAGGAGAAAAAAAGCTATAAGAATAGGCTGAGTTTCAGTAAGGTAAATATACGACTGTTAAACTTCTTCGCTGCCACTGCTTTCTAGCCTTTTAAAAATCATGGCAAAGGAAATGTTCCACTATGTCAGCGGTGGTGCTCCTTAGCTACAGCTACAGCAACATGTGAAGTAGAGGGGGGAAAACCATACCATCTGCTCAGTACATTTATAATTATTGGCAGATCAGCATTTATTGGCCAAATTCCTTGTTAGAACTGCTGATTTGTTAAGAAAAAATCATCAGTTTCTCTTAACCACCCTCAGCTGTCCTGTGTATGTATCCTGTGTGTGTGAGAATGTAAAAACCTTACATGCTAATAAGTTTGATTAATCATCGCGTTTCAGATGGAATTGCTGGACAAATTCCCAGTGGAGGGAGGCCAGAAAGACCCTAAGCGCCGGATCATTCCATTCCTGCCAGGTAAGAGTTGAACACACAGTCCCTCAATGACCAATCACAGAAAAAAAAAGAAGTGGCACATAACTGGGCATTATTAGGAATAAATGGAGAATACATAATTTTTACAGACCATCCCAATTAAACTTACCTGATTTAAATTAGTCTAATCTTCCCTTCAAGGCTGTCTTCTGAAGGCCTTGTGATCCACTTCTAGTGCTATTTTTAGAGTCCTTCCTGGAAATCCCATCATGACCACTTATTTTGGGTGCTCTGTGACTTCATCATGGACCTCAAATGTGTGCAGACAGCAAAAATTTACTTCCATTCAGCAGTTTTCAGTTGAAAAGCCCACGTTTCCCAAACCACAGTGTATCAGGAAACCAGGGTCATGCTCGTCATTTTGTTTGACATTTCACTGGTTGTGCAGCGTGAATTTGTCCCTTTGTCGAGCTCTACTTCAATGTCCCGAGGCGTCCCGAGGGGAGAACATTTAGTCCATTAGTTTTCCATTTATGTCCTGACGAGTCTGGTCACGCAAACCTGTGTCAGTTCCTACCGGCCCTACTCAACCAGATTTGCTTCCCTGTCACTTTCTCCATAAAATCAAAACCACATTTAAGGATCGCTGTCTTGACATACTGACGGAGATTCAGCATGCAACAAAGAGGTAAAAGTGCAAAGGCACAGAATGTGATGTCCATAAAGTGATTGAGGGATAAAGCGGCCAGAATTAAATCAACAAAGTTCTGATTTTTAAGGGCTGATTCACACAGAGCGATTTAACCACAGCTCATGTGCTTATAATACGGAAAGGTTTTTGAACTCCTGTGTCGTGTCCTTGCTGCAGTGTCATGTCCTTGTATTATGTGTGCTCCCTTTGATCCTTCAACCAAACACACTGGGCAGCAGTGACTTACTGATGATGACCTTTAAATGAACTGGAGGAAAGCCGAGTTAATCTTTTACACGTGCGCTTAGAAACCAACTAGAACAACCTGAAGCAAAGGTGTTGGGCATAAGCATATTATTTCTGCCACTAAGCAAGAATATTTTAATTCATGTACTTTTTAAGCATTGGACTGAACCACATTATCTCAGCAAATGGCCTAAAGACACATTATACCATCTATGTGAATCAGTGCTGGAGCCTTTTAGAGAAACAGACTATTTGCCAGTGTTTCATGTGTTTTTAACAAAAATCTGAATGTTATACTCCATGGTATTCATTATGATAATCCCAACTGAACTCCATCATTCTCCTGGCTGAATCATCATTGTGTGTGTGTGTGTGTGTGAGAGAGAGAGAGAACTGGCTAAAATAACTTCTTCTCTTTAGTTTTCACTATTTTTCTTTCTCAAATACAAATGGCAACAAAGTTTGTTTTGAAAAGGGGGCTTTGGGTGTACTTGACCAACTTTTGAGATCCTGCTGAAAGTAATCCTTTATGAAAGGAAGAAAATCCTTAATGTCAACCCCACCCACATCTCCCCCACCAGGCTTGGGATGTGTGGGGGTTAGGGTTTTTTTTTTTTTTTTTAAATGCCCATGCAAGTCTGGAACTCATTGAGAGAATGCTCATACAAAAACACACACGCATTCACCCCGTTTGATGAAATGTAAGTAGGAAAGGGAGGAGGGAGATTTATTTATTTTTTTTAAAGATTGCTTTTCATACCATCCTTTTTTACATCTAAGCACCCCATACTCCATACTGATACATTAAACATCTACATTGAACTCTGAGCGTGTGCTTCCTGTTTTTATTGTCTGAATAAATTTAGTGCCACTGAGGATGGCACTAAAGTGCTGCTTCTGTGGTGCTGCTAAGGCACCACAAGTAAAGGTCTGATTGGACTCATGGACATTTGCATGGGACGTCCTCTAGGAATGCTGCTGTGAAGCTGTTTGCATGTTATGTGAAGGTTTTTATCCTGAGTGGCTGAATACATGGAGATTTAAATGAAGGACCATTACTAGCATCAGATCAGACCTCTGTCTGAGAGGGATCCCAAGCAAACAGTCTTCTGAACTGCACAGTATTCATTGACAGCCAAGGGGAAATAAACCCTAAAACATTCACTTACAAAGCAAAAGTCTGGAAAAAGGACGAGGGGCCAATCTCACAAGGTACGGAAGTGGTTTTCCCTTTCTGGTTTGGTTTGTTCAAGGCCCCAAGTTGTTTTTACTTCTTGGTATCTCTGCATCAGCAAAGTGGTTTGTCAGTAAGAGTACACACTGTAGAACTGCTTTCTTCTCTTTGACAAGCATTGACAGCATTTTTACTCTGAGGTCTGATTTTGGCCTTTGGAAGGAATATGTTAGAAGTCCAATAAATACATAACTTTATGTATTTTTCATTTACGAAGTCAACTCTTTATCTTTAGATAGATGGTGCCATCATGGTTTTGTAGATTGGTTCATAAATGACATAAAGATAAAATGATACATTTGATGTGTTAATCCCACCATTCAGAGTCAGGTTGGCTTTTAAAAAGTTAAGATAAATTGTGGGTCTGCTAATTCAAGCTACTGAATCTGGACATAGTTTTTCACAGAACTGCATAGAGTCCTTTCAAAAACATTCTTTTCTCTGTTTTGTATTCTCTGTGCACTCTATTGCCTGAGGAACTATCTGCCTGACATGGCAGGAGGTGCTGCATGCGGCACAGGTCACATACAATTCAAAACCGACCCTACTTTTACTAAGTCCCGACTGAATATATGCATGTGTCAAGTAAAATCCGAATACGGTCTCGAGTACGCAGTTTTGTCACAAGATCCCAAGTCCTTTTGTGTTAAAAGTATAAGCAGCTCAAAATCTCCCCAAAAAGGCTAACTAGGTTGGTGAATGTAGTTATTAAGATGTGAGGGATTCTGAGAACAGCTTTCTTTGGGTGAGGTAACAATAAACCTCTCTATGTATGGCCATCTTAGCCTGCCTTTTTTCTCCATCTAGTTCGCTCAGTTTTCCCAGGAAACAAAAGCTGTTTGATACTTTTGGTCACTACTGACTCTGAGATTTGCCAAAATGTCCACCGTGCCTCAGCCATGGCTCCAGGGTAGCAGCATTCCACCCTGCCCAAATAAGCCCTTTTCATCGGCTGCATCCATGAGCTGCCGTGCATACAAAGTGGGCAGTGTTGAGTCAGTGCTTCTCTCCTGACCCCAGAGAGCTTTGGAAAACCTTCAAGAACACTTTCTGCTTGAGGAGTGATGAGGGGAGGAGAGGAAGAAAGAGACAGAAATAGAGAAGGAGAAGTGTGTCTGAGGGTTGACTTTCAAATCTCTTTAGTTTTTCAGTGCTGTCCCAACAGCATCCCCTCGACTGCTCTGGCAAGAGCTCGCCAATGCCATAGAGATTCGGAATGTCTTCTCTAATTCTTCTTCTAGTTAATCTCATTTGTAACAGTCTCCCTTATGTAGTATGATCTTGTTGTCCTTTGCAGTGTGGTAAGATATTAAAGTCTACTGTTAATCAGACCACGCTCGTTGACACTAGATTTCACATCTTTATTTATTGTTGCGATGCATTTATCTGCAGTATGGGAAACAGTAGTAGCATAATAGTTAACAGCCTTGGTAAAAAAAACATTATGGATGCATTGCTTATCGTGCACATTTTTAAACTCCGTCCAAACACTGAACCTGTGGGATTCACCGAGAGAGATGAACACACCATTTTTAATGACTGTTGTTTTTGGCAGTAGACTAAAACTTACAACTGACCGTTGGCATTACAGCAAAAAAATTGCCAAAGTTACTAGAATTGGGTGGACAAGCTTGTGTTTATTTTGGACTTTCTCTAATCCACACAGGGTCAGAAAGAAATCTATAGGCTCAAATATATACATACATTCACTTAAATCTTTTTAAAAAGTGGTACTATTCTACAATGTCTTTTAACTTGACTAGACCAACTAATTGTTAGTGATCTTGACTGACTATAGCTTGTAGCTTGTCTATGCCAACATAAAAAGGATTTGTTTGGCAGCACTCATTGGATTGACCAATGCTCACTACAATGGGGAAAGTCCAAGGAACTCTGTGAAGATCTAAGAAGAAGTTGGGAAGTTCTAAACAACTGCGGATTCCAAGATCATCAGTCAAATCATTCAAACAATTATACATAAATACAAGGTATTTGGATATACAGTATTACCACTTTGCCAGGGTTGGGAAGGAGACCCAGGCTGTCTCTCTGATGAGAGGAAATTGGTTGGGATGTTTCAGAACAACTGAGGAACCACCAAGACTTCATCTTTTTAATGGTAAATGGCCTGTATTTGTATACGCTTTACTAGTCCCTAAGGACCCCAAAGCGCTTTACACATCCAGTCATCCACCCATTCACACACACATTCACACACCGGTGATGGCAGCTACATTGTAGCCACAGACGCCCTGGTGCGCACTGACAGAGGCGAGGCGGCCGGACACTGGCGCCACCGGGCCCTCTGACCACCACCAGTAGGCAACAGGTGAAGTGTCTTGCCCAAGGACACATCTGGTAATCATACCAAATCACAACAACAGTCGCCTAAAGACGCTTTAAATTGTAAGGTAAAGTTAAGGTAAAGAGCCTACAATCATCCAGAGAAAACCCCAACAATCAGACGAACCCCCCTTTACTTATTATTCCCTGATGGTTAAATTAATATCCACACAAATCAATTTTCCTTTTAACTGACATCATCCGCAGGTTGTTGTTTTGTTTTTTTTTTGTTTTTTTTTATATTATAGTAAGCTTCACTGTCTTACTTTTGAGCTTCCTTTTATTGTGTTATTTATACAATATCCTGGGGGGGAGGGGGTTTCCCATTTGTTTTGTCTACCACCTGAGTCAGCTTGTAGGTTGTAGTGAGAGCAGGGATGGCTGGGTAGGGTGTGGAGGTTGTTTCTTTGAACGTTGGGTGTTGGTAGTTTTCTGTAAAATGTGCAAGATCTACTTTTTTTTGGTGTGAAGTCACCACAAATATCTACTCCAGTCAGCAGTATACACTTGTACAACCTTTTATACTTCTGTCTCACCTTGGCCCTTCCTTTCATGATTACTTCTTTTCTTGAATGCTTCAGATTCACAGAACAAAGAGAAAAGTATTAGCATAAACAGTTTTAAGCTGCGTGGGTTAAAGAAGCAGCCACTTTTTTTGTAACAATAGTGAAATGGAGCTTTTATATATGGATGGATGGATGATGTGTCAGCAAGTCTGTTTCAAAAGCAAACACCAGGACTCCTTGATGGCGGTAATATTGTAATCTGTCACCTGCATTTAGGATCTCATTACATACACAACCTTTTGCCCTGCTATACTGTATTTTTTAATTAATATGTCTCAGTGTGTCTATTGCCAAATGAGAACAAAGAAAGTTTTTCACATGCCTTTGAATAGAAAAGAGGGCTTTTTGTAGCCATTTCTTGTTATTGTTATGGTGAACTAGCTTGCCCGTGCCTGTGGTAATGTGTGCCTAGCGATAAGAATAAGGGAGCAGTGTTTAAACTGTCAAACGGGCACTCTTTGCCTGTCCTAAATCATTTATTAACTTGGAAAGGCCAGCTATTCACCCACCTCCTTAGCCTCCTCATTGTGCTGTCACTGTTATTGATGATGCAACTGTGTTGTGTCTGCATGCTAATTCACTAACTACATTTTGGAAAAAGCCACCGTTTTCACTGTCCTTCAGTCTACCTGCAAGTTTTTCTTTTAAGTCACTACTTAAAGAAATCAATCAAGGTTTTGTTTGGGTGGGTTTTTTTTGTTTTTGTTTTTGTTTGTTTCGTTTTTCAATATAGCTTTTGTGTATTTTATATGAAAACTTGCTGTGGAAAAGATTAGAATTATTCTTTTTTTCTAAGGTATATGAACATGTTAACTTGACATATGTAAAGGTAGGTTGCAGTATTTAAGTTCCTAAATCTGATTTTCCTTGTTTGTTCCAGGAAAGATTCTGTTTAGGAGGAGCCACATCAGGGATGTGGCAATGAAAAGGCTAAGACCTATTAATGAATACTGCAGGGTGAGTATTCGTCATGCAATTCCCTACTTATTGCTAAGCATCAACATATATATGTTATAAAATGCATTTGTCAAGAGAAAAGAAACCACAATCTGTGTACATTACATCACAGCTAGCTGGGTTTTTTCCTCCCATGTTTTTTTTCATCACATTCAGGCCCACTTTTAGTCGTCCAAACACATGCTTATATTAAGTAAAGTCAAGCTTGTAGTCAAACTACAGCATTTGCATAACAGAAAGATTTATACGTTCACTTTGTTGCAGCTTTATGAATAATGCTGCTGCCCTTGCGATCTAAATTGGCACTGTGCGGTGTGTGGCATGCTAAACATCCCGGAGCAAGTCTTTGTGACCGCAGGCATCCACTCTGCCGATGTGTTCTAAAAGGTCCCCAGGTGCTCTGTTGTAGACTTTGACCTTCCTGCAAAAAGAAACACGCCAAAGGAGAATTTTTCTCAAGGGATAGATGTGTATAAGGGGGGGGAAAAGTTTCTATGTAGCTAAATGAGAAGAGAATGTCGTTACACCACACAAAATGTAGGCCTTATGACCCCCTAGAGCAAGACAATTGATGAATGTTGCCAGGGTGCAAGCATGCTGTAATGTGTGTGTGTGTGTGTGTGGTGTCTGTTTTGTCATTTTGAAATACCGCAGCTCATTCCATAAGTGAAAAAAAAGGATGATGCAAAACTTGTGCCTTGTCAAGCCCATTACATTGCTTTTTACCAGAGAGATTATTATTCACTTAACCTCAAGAAAAGGAAAATCATGCAACTCTACATTCTCAAACTCCACTGCAGATGAGGTTAAACCGTATAACTGCCAACAGCTAGCAAGTAATTGCTTCATTTCAACAACAACGCAACCACCACAGCCTATATAAAATAATCATGATTGATGCTCATCTTTTTAGCCTCTGAAGTAAAGTCGAATAGCAGTTTAAAGATTTTCATCTTTCTCAGTGAGGTGCTTTTTTATGGATACATATCTACAAGGCAGATATCTTCTGGAGTTGTGGTGGTTGCCACAGGCAAAGCATTTTCCCGTTGCTGAGCTAGCTCCAGTCAGCATATCCACACAACCACGGGCTATGTTTTTGTTCAATTTTACAGGCGTGACTTGGGGCTTTAAAACATGCACGAACATTTCCTTATGTCTCTCTCTACGAAGGAAACTTTGCTTCTGACTTAGCCTGTACTCGCGCTTTTACGATTTTCAGCTGCCTTATATTTTAATTGCTTTACTTCTCTTACTCAATCAAGACCCTTGTGAAACCATTACTGAAAAAAAATTGCTTCCTAAGGTGGAACTGACTGGTCACTTCTTCACCGGTAAAAACAGCAATTCTTCAAGCCTGAGAGTAAAGCTTTTATGTATGATGAACAATGCATAGGACCGAAGGGGCTCTGTGTCATCTGGGGTTAAAGGAATGTGCAGCTGGTAGGCAACATCTTTAACCACTTATGTGAAAAATAAAGGTAGGGGAGGAAAGGGTAGAGTTGCTGGTTCATGTCTGAGGGTGTGGGTGTTTTATGGGAACGGCTGAAACAATTTCAGTGGAATTGCCACAGTCAAATTTGAAGTTGTGCAAATGTATGAAAAGCCTTAAAATATACCTGCTTAGCATTATTGGTTTAAGGATGCCTGCCTTTAAAATGTTTCAGCTTTGTTAAAGTTATGTTTAAAGACAGAATGGAAGCAGAGTGAGACTTAATGTGGTCCAGGAGTGGCTGTGGCTCAGGAGGTAGAGAAGGGCATCTAACTGGAAGGTTGATGGTCCAATCCCCAGCTGCTCCAGTCTGCATGCCCAAAGGGTCCTTGGGTAATTGCTCTTGATGTGTTCATCAGAGTGTGAATGTTAGCAACACTGACTTGCACTGAAAAGCACTAAATAAGAGTCAGTCCCTTTACCATATTGCTTTTAAATTCAAGCAATATGGTATCTGTGTTCCACACATTTGTTAGTGATTTAAAACATCCATCAGTCCTTTGGCAGTATCATACATGTCAGAGCTAAGCACTGCCAGCGAAGAAGTTATCGCAGTAGCGGCAAAAACAAGTCAAAACTTTACTGGAAGATCAAAAGTGGCATTTCATCCACCCCCACATGTAGTCAGATTGACAAGGTACAACTTTGTTGTTCTTACAGAAGAGCTGAGTCATCTCTTCTGTTGTGCAGCTGAGGCTTTGTACTGACTCATTTCAAATTTCCCTGGTTGTGAAACCTTGTTTTTCATATTGGGAAGCAAAGTTGGATGAAAGGTTGGATTAAAAAACAGAAAAAATGAGATCACTGGGAAGGTCAGATAGCTGATAAAAAACAATCACATAAAAAGACTCTGTAGAGATTTATTTAGACCTTGCTATACGTGTGGAACAGTACAAAAATCACTTATGCAGATAACATGAGCATCAAGATTTTTTTAATATATGGCCAAGATGCCCTTTATTCTAATTAAACATTCACTATATGTATGTACATGTGAGAGGATACTATACACTGACCCACACTGCCACAGTGTATTGTACCTTGTGAGAGGTTGGTCTTGCATTTCCATTATATATTTTCCCTTGGAGAATACACACAAACACACACAGACACACACACACACACGCGCGTGCAATTACCTTAATGCTGCCTTCTATAAAGAACACCCATAAAGTCCATTTGCCATAATGTACCCTGAGCCTCCCTCTTGTCTCCTCCCTGGGGAGAATTGTAATGAGCGGTCAAGCCACATGCTCACACGTGGATGGAAATAAATCCAAGGATTGCATCCTCTGCAGCAGGCAGAGATTTTGCACTCTGACCTCAGTTACGGCTCAACATCCTGGGCTGCATGACTAAACGTTGTGTGGGTCCTCTGAAAGTCTTAACAACACAAGATTCTTTTGAAGCCTAATAGTTTTGAAGCCTAATATTTCCCATGAATCAGAAAACAGGAATGAGGACACAAATGCACATTTGCATTCTGTATGGCTTTACAGCTAAAATAATTGTACGAATTTGTCCATAGTAGTAGTAGAAGAAATAGTAGTAGTAGTAGTGTCTCATCTTTTCTTTAACACAAGCTGCTGGACCCATAGTCCTACATATGACAAGGAAAGCATAGTGCATGGGACAAGGACACTCTGGTTACGTCTTTGGCTTCCATTCCACATCCGTCAGTCCTGACGTTACATCAGCATGTGTCAGAGAGTCCAGGAGCTAGGCTGTGCTTCCTGGAAGGACAAAGCTGAAACACTTAGGAGTATTAAAATTAGAGGTAGAGACCAGAAGAGGAATCTTGATGGGTAGCTCTGAGCTGATCTTGCCAGCAAATGGAGGAGTTGCATATTTTCTTCATAGCTAAGAGGGATCGTCTCCACAAGGTCATTGATGGGAGTTGTTTTTCCTTCTGGTTTGCCACATCAAGCTGGTGAAGTGATTATTTGTTCTCCTGCTCCCCTTTAGAGGGTTGATTGAGAGCAAGTGGAAAACAGCCAGATAAAAAAATGAATAGTTGTGCATGAGTAATGACTAATAAAGAAAACTGAATGTGGATGTTTGTCTTTTGTTTGTGCACGCAGGCCCTCATTCAGCTGCCAGTCTACATCTCCCAGTGCGAAGAGGTCAGAGTGTTTTTTGAGACCAGACCTGAAGACCTCAACCCACCCAAGGAGTGAGTAGCACACATGTACCCAAACACACCCTCACATATCTCCTTAACTATTAAAAACCCTTCCTCTTGTATACAATGGTAAATCATTGTTCCACTGGCTCATGTTATGCCATGTCCTGCGAGATCTGCTGGTAATGAACATTCATTATACCCTCTAATGAATATGATTTCATACACCCGCTCAGCCTTCTGTTGGGGTTTTCTAGCAGAAACACACTTAATAGGTCCTGTTTTTAAAGCTGAGCTTGCATTTTTGCTGGAGCGGAGTGCAGACACCAGCCTCTACACAGCTGAGTCCACATGGTTTCTCGATAATCTCACTCTCAACACATTAGCGCAATATCCAGCACTAAAAGTAACGCAAACGTGTCGTTATTAAGCTTACATTTAGGGCTGTAGGGGTTATGGATGGCTGCCTTCAGCGAAACCGTAGACCCTAGAGATGTTTTATTTAATTAATTAATTTTGCTAACAGCTGCAGAAAGGCAGCGTAGTCATGTCGTCTCCGTCGAAACATCTTGACGTGTGTTGTCAGCTGTCAGGAAATCCAATAGATAAGGCCTGTGACTATATTTATGTATAAACCTATCACATCCTGATGTTTTATAAATGCCATAATGCCATTCAGGAGTAGCATGCACTGAGTGAGCAGCTGGGGGTTCACGCCCAAGGACAATTAACAGGACAAGAAGCTGTTATGAAGATTGAATGTGAAATGAGCTCCTGCAACAGCCTGCCATATTGTCATATATAATGTGGACAGATTTAATCTTCCTTTGAAGTCTGCTGTGTGCTGCCGTCAAGTACTTTACTGGGGCCAGGTCTTAGGAAGACTGCTTGATTATATTTACTTCACTCTTTTGACAAGATGAGCCACTTTCAGTATAAAATGTGATGGACGTTAGCTAAATAACTGGAATTTAAAACAGCCCTAACTTGTGTGTACTTACTCTTACTTTAAATAGTAAATTCAAGTAAATTTGTGGGGGGAAAAGATCTCTTCCAAAACTGGAATTATTACAAGGATTTGGGTGTTATTTTCCACTCTGTATGAAGAGTTTGCATTTGTGTTCTCTGATATTGGAAAACCTTTCACTCTATTGGTGGTATCAAGATAGCAGACCATGGCAACTGTAAGCTGATGCCAAACAAAAAGTGTGTCTAAAAGTTTCCGAAGCCTGTCGGTGGAATATGAATCTATATTTATAAGTTATGACACCCAGTCTGCAATCTTGTTTGTTCTCACACATCCTCTGTGTTTTTTTCCCTTTTCTTACCTCGGGGAAGGTTGCCAAGGACCCATACTTCCCTACTCCTCATACAAAGCCCCAAGCATGTATCAGTAGAGATGGGGGAGAGACAGAGAGATGTGATTCCTTGAGGCAGATGAATATAGGAAGGACCTTGGTTTGTCTTTATTGAAATTGGATTACTGCTTTCTGCTAGTGCAGCCTGTTGCTTGGCTGACTGACAACAAGGCTGCTGTACAGCAACTGTAGGAGAAGATTTATCATGGCCTATAAATCTACTGCAACGAGTAAGACATGTTATACTTTCTTCTTAAGAGCAGTAGAGAGGAGAGGAAAGGAGAGGACAGGAGAACTCAATTGTAAAGAGGAAGTAGATGGTCAGTGAGTAAAAAGGAAGAAAGAAGTAAAAAAGAGGAAGTGTTGCAAGAAGAAGGCAAGGAAAAGGAAAGAAAATGCAAGGAAGATTATTATAGAAAAAAAGGACGTCATATAACCTAATCCAGAGAGAAGATTAGGCACAGGGAGGGATGGAGTGATTTTCTGTGAGCAGTTATTTACTGTAAAGTTTAGTTTGAGGTTTCAAAACGTCTTCACCTTTATTCTCTGTATGAAAACAAAGTATACACATGCAGTGTACGCGCAGATTCATCTGTTGTAGTCCATTTAGTCGGTCGCCCTGAGTATTTCTTTTCATAATACCCTAATTGGCAAGCTTGGAGGTAAACATTCACAGAGATGAGGTCTCTGCAATTAACAGTTCTATCAATCCAATAATCCTTTATGTGGCTGAGAGCATTGATGTTGATGCAGAGAAATGGACACAGAGTCGCTGCCAAGGAAAACAATCAAGGGAGATAAAGCAGTAGGTTGAGCAGACGTGGAAGATGTGAGATGGAAAAAAGGAAGGCACTGGTAGGCTATAAAGTAAGGGTGCGACGTTTAGATAATGAGGGACAAACAGAGCAAATGCTGAGCATTAGCCACCAGTGACATTTTGAGGCATCTGGCCATTGAATCAGTTCCTGACTCTTGCTGTGGAGTGATGGTCTATTTATCTGGATAATGTCTAAACCAGACACAGCAGATGCTGTATTGAATTTAACATCAGCCCGGATTTTCGGGATCAGCTATCTCAAAGCTTTTTATTCACATTAGCCTGCGTTGCAGACATGGATCTGTTTTCTCCTGCGTGACAGTTTGTAGATCTGATGGGCAAAGATCATTTCTTTTTCCTTTTTTTTAATTCCTCCAGCAGTACACATGTTAAATGATAGTGAGATTAAATATAAATGAATAATTGGGGATGCTGTTCTATTGCTGTTGATGTTTGTTTTTAAGTTATTTAAGTGGGACCTTCATGAGTTTGTGAATTATGTTAAATATTATTGGTATGCTGGTTCCATTCCATTTTGGTATGTATGGTGTGGTCATGTAATGTTTTCTTTTCTTTAACAGGGAACCCATTGGGAAGAAGAAATCAGGTGAGATAGCTTTGATTGTGTATTTGAAATGAAAGGTAGGTTAGTTAATCATGAGAATCTTGGCTTTTCTCTGATAAACTATGTATTGAAAGGAATAAAAGCAAGTCTTCAGTAATTACCTCCGTGTCTGTGTCATATGATAGGACGTTATCTCCATCTAGTGGTCACAGGTTGAACAAACCAAAACAATGACTTTATTAGAAGACATTCCTTCTATACTGATGTTACAGTACTGGTGAACCAAGAAACAAACATTGTCCTTCTCTGTTCCTCTTTATATACACTCTGTATCCCCTCAGTTCATCTTTTATTCTTAATTTTGCATCCATGTTATCTTTTTCAGTTTTCTTCTCCATTCATTTTCCTTTCCCTCAGGGTTTGTGGAGAGAGCAACTACTTTCCTAAAGCGAGGTAGTAAACACACTGTCATGCTTGGTCGTGCTGTGTGTGTAACCCCAGTGGGTCGTTAGTGGCCTGTCCCCCCTCTCCTTCCCTGGCCTGGGCAGGTGGGATGTGGCTCTGTTGAGGCTTGGGGCTTGCATTGGTTCTGTTAATGATAAATTGTTGGTGATTGATTTTTGGAACTGGTGTGGGTCATATCTCAGCTCTATTTATATATGTTGTGTTGAGACAGGGTAGTAAAGTTATGCTCTACTATGAATGTAGTAAGCTTGGTTATGCTAACAGCAATACATTGAATCAGGGAGTTAGAAATAGAAAGTTGTTTTTTTTAATCACTAGATTTAAAGATGCATTGAAATGTAAAGGATTGAAGAAGTTGATATTATAAAGGAATCCTTTAAAATTTATACCAGTATGTTTCAGGATGCCATTGTCATTAATTAGGAAATTACAATTAATACATTTGTCATTTACATTTTTAAATATGTCTCTGTTTCAAATATATCAAATATTATTTTTAAGGCGAGCTAATTACGCTAACCGACTTAAGCTGGTTTAGCTAGTGGCGCCATAGTGTAGTGATTTACAAATTTGCCAGAGATCTTTGGTTTGATCCTGGGAGGGAAAAAAAAGGTTTGAGGTTTTGTTTGGAAAGGCATCTGGAGTAAAAAATGTGGAGCTCAAACACACAGTGACTAAGGGAATAGTTGAAAATAGCTTTTGTTAAAAATAACAAGTGTTCCTCCAGTTCTGCTTTAGAGAAATTTGCATTACTAATATTCAAATCTTTAACTGGCATAATGGAGAAATTGCAGATTAAGCAGTACTAAATTTGGCTTTAATCAGGTTATTTTCTTAGCTAGCTGCTGCTCACTGAAGGAGGCTAATGTTAACGTATTTTTAAGCTGCCCGATCAAGAAAATCTATTTTGTAATTTGTAATTACTATACATACTTAATGTTATTATTATTTTGTTATTTTAAATCTGAACTTATTGTGTGCCATAAACGCATTACTTTAGAATGTGTTTGATAGCACCTTCAGTGATTAGCATGCTGAGATTGATGCTAATGTCCCTTCATTGTGCATTTTATCAGTCAGTCAAGTTTTAGTGTGTGTATTTTTACACAACAAACGTCAATAGAAAAAGCAGAGTTGTACCTTTTTTTAAAATTTATACATTTTTTAACAGTGATTATATTGTGAGCCCTCGTTTGTTACTTTATTTTTTTAGTGATGTAGTGCTAACATTGGTGGTGGGTCTTAATGATGCTGGTTTGTTCCTATAGACATGTCACAGTCATGGTGATAAATAAATTAACCATCTACGCTTTTCAATCCATCCCCTTCACTCCCATTGTCCAAATCTTCCTTTATTTCTCTCTCAGCTCGTTGTTTCCCCTCACGCTCCTTTCCAATCACGTACACTGCCTCCTCCGTCTGGACTCTGAGGGAATCTCAGTAATGTACATAAGCCCCCTCTAACAAAAAAACTTTTTACTTAATAGCTTTTGCACAAATTGCGACCTTGGAATTATTCTTGGCATTTCATCAAAAGACAGTTTTTTTTCCTCCCACTTAGCCCAAAATTAAATTCTGGCTGTTTTGTAAAGGCCTGCTTAAATTGGGTTTTAGTGAAGTTATTCAAAGCCCATATAAAGTCTGACATTTTAAAAGGTCATATTACATTTGGTCAATGAAATGCAAAACCTTTAAAGGTCAATACCTTAAACCCACACTGATGCAATCTTATAATTCCAAGTTCATGGACAGTCCTTTGATATCATGCACATATGAACAGAGCTCTTCAGCGAAGAACAAAAGATATTGAGTGGAGGCTTTTCTCGCATTATTGAGATTTCATTCGTGACTTCCCCAAGAAAGATCAAAAGAGATGTGCTAAACTTTTGTTATGATTTTTTTTTTATTCTTCCCTTAATAGGAGACTCCTCCTCAGCAGACCCTCTTGTACTTGACCAGTATGTGGCAGTAACAGACTATGAGAAGCAGGAGAGCTCTGAGATAAGCCTGCATGTGGGGCAGGTGGTGGAGGTCATTGAGAAAAATGAGTCTGGCAAGTTTCATACAGAATTAGAACATATATTCTGTACATTTCTCTGATGTTTTCATTGTGGCAGATCGCTGCTTTCACTGTTCAGCAAACCTGTTACGTTAAGTGTTGATGTGGAACTATGCAATTACTTGAAACATTATGGGGGTTTGTGGGATTGTTGCTACTGCTGGACTTGGTCTGTTGCCAGCTATTAAGGTTGAGTTAAATAGGTTTGCTAAAAATACTCAAGAGAAATAGCAGTTGGTATATTAATAAAAAATATATATTTTAAAAACCTCAGAGTATGCCAGTAATGTCGTCTTGTTTTGAAAATCATAGCTATTTATTAACTTTTTTTAATTAATTAATCAAATTACTAAAACAAATAGTCATTCAAATATCGGAATATCCGCAATGGTAACATGTACACCCAAGAACAGAGGTCCCCAGCCTTTTTTTGCGCCACGGACCGGTTTATGTCCGACAATATTTTTACGGACCAGCTTTTAAGGTATCACGGATAAATACAACAAAATAAAACCAGTACTGGTACCAAAAAAAAGAAGATTTATTCATAACATACAGGAAAAGACCCAGAGAAGCCAAGTTAGAGATAAAAACATTTAAAAAATAACGATAAAAACCCCGAAAACCATAAATTTCACACCCGAGCCTCAACTCTCGCGGCCGGGTACCAAACAACACCTGGGGGTTGGGGACCGCTGCCCAAGAAGATTAATAGTAATGCATAATAAAAGAATAATTGTAATACATCACATAAACTATAGGTTACGCATACTTAAAAAAAAAAAAAGTGGTGCTTTTGCAACAATCCCAGCAACAAGTCAAATATCAGTCGTGCATTTTACTGATGCATATAATCCCTTAACTGAATAAGCATTGCATGAGGTGCAGTATCTTGTATATCAGTTTTGCTTTGTTTTTCCTGCCTATTTAGGGTGGTGGTTTGTAAGTTCAGAAGATGCTCAGGGCTGGGTCCCTGCCACCTGCCTTGAGGCCCAGGATGACCCTGATGACTTCAGTCTTCCAGGAGAAGAAGGTACATCAAGCTTTACATTTGGGTGCTACTGTTAAGAAATTCAAATTCAAATTTTTATTTGTCACATACACAGTCCGATATGCAGTGAAATGCTTAGACAACTGCTCGTGACCTGAAGAAAAAAGAAAAGGCTATGAATAAGATAGGAAATAAATATGAAAATAAAAAAGGGTAAATTTAACCAGGAAGGAATAAAATAAAATATAAAAATTAAGTTAAGAATGAGATAACTGTACAACACAAATTAGAATGAAGGGTAAATTTAACTGGGAAAGAATAAGATAAAATATATAAATTAAAGTTGAAAATAAAATAACTGTACAACAAAATACACAGTATAGAAATATATAAGAATGTATGAAGAAATATAAATATAAATATATATATACACACAATAACAGCAGCTGTACAAGTATTAACTGGAAATGAGGAATATAATGTCCAGTGTTGTGCAATCCACATTATATAGTGTCTTGTGCAGTGCAAATATGCTTAAAGTGGTTTAAGTGATGATGTCCAGAATGTCCAGTGTGTGTGTAAGAACTATATGTGTGGGTCAGTACTGTGTGGTGGTGTGATTGAGAGACCGTATCGCCTGCGGAAAGAAGCTCCTCCTCAGTCTCTCTGTGTTGGTCTTCAGGGAGCGGAATCGCTCAATCGCTCAAGATTCAATGTAACCACAAGGAAAGGTTTAGGGTGCAGTGCAGAAATGCAGGATACACCACGTCAGAGGCACATCTTTTGTTACACAACGTTTAACTCCTGTAACTCACTCAGTACTCTGTTGATGGTTAAAAGTCAGTCTGACAAAATAGGTTTGCTTATTGAGTTGAAGACTGTTGCTGCTAAGACTCTGACTGTGTGTGTTTTGCATTCTAGAGAATTGGCAAAAGAAAATTCAAAAGGATCAGTAGAAAAAAAATTACAATTTCATTGCCAAAGCCCTGGTAAGGATATGCTAAAGAAAGGAATATTGTACAGTAAATGACAGGATCTCAAAATAGGGTCCTCTGCCAATATGCAAATTATAGGTCTTAAAAGCCTGAGATGTATGTGGCTGGCTGCCCTATCAAAGTCTGGAGAGTTTGTTTGATTCAAACATTCACAGATTTTATTCCGTAAGAGAACAATACAAAATCAACAAACTGCATTATCAGCATTCAATTTAAAATGCCACATTAATAAGAAAGAATTTAAAACACCCCAGAGATCCCTATTAACCATTAGATGAAGGAACTATTTGTCAGTTCAAGTAAATAAAAATACCAATTATTTCCCCGTAGATCCATCAATAACGAAAGTGTTTTAGGATGAAAATATCCTCCAGATTGCATTTGTAATGTTCACTTCCTATTTTGCCCCAATTACTGTGCTGGGATGTCAGTGCCACGGAGATTCTGGTCACTGCCAAGGCATATGGGTCGTCGCAGAACTTTAGGGGATCTATTCAGCACAGGCTTTGGGCAAGGTGGAGCGCACGCCTTTCTTTTCCCCCTATAATGAATATATGCGTGTACACACACACATATAAAACTGTGTGCATGTTTGTCCGTGTGTGTGCATGAAGAAATGTTGCATGAGTGACCTCAGCATGTAAATAAATCCTCGCATGCAAAGTGAACTGCATATTTGTATATAAATGTATTTGTTATAAATAATATATATGATAAAAAAATATATATTTATTTATATATCAAATAAACAACTAGAACAATTTAACCAGCATTAATAAACACGTGATTGTTCACTGTGTGTAGTATGTAATAGTAGTAGAAATGATGTTGACAATAGACAAGGCTTTGTTTGATGTTGTAACAAGTTTGTCCTGTGTGTGCGTTTTTGTGTCTTACATTTTCACTCCACAAGATGTTGCTCAAGCCTTGCCTCACTAGATAAGTTATAACAGGTAAAACTAATGTGTGCCTATGGCAACCACAGTATCTCATCTGAAATCTCAATATTAAATTGCTGAGCAGTTTCTGTTAATCAGAAAGAAGTTCCTGTGGTTTTTGCCCTAACAAGAATCTTTGCCAACTTTGTGGGGGGAAAAAAAGGATGATAGTCTTTGTCTGGTGTTTTTTGAAGTTTTAATCAGAAGCAAAGTTCCTCATTTCCTTATGTGTTCAGTCTTAAAAAGAGAAGGTTTAATTTAAAGTCTGTTGAGGAAAAAGTTGGTCTCAAAAGGCAGCTCAACATCCAACCACCCAGTGCTTGCTTCTGCGTAAATATGTGAAGCTAGAGCTTGTTGTGCCAGTCGTTAGCAGTGGCAAAACAAGCTCCACTTTCAGCTTTGTTGGCAGTGTGTCACTGGCAACACACTTTTACTTGGAGATCACACCCATTAACCTATGTCGACTGCCAGTACTGCCATTAGAGGCGAGTGGGAATAACAAAGATGGCATTCACCCCTATTAAATCCTTTTGAACGCTTTATTTTATTTTGGACTGGTTGCATTATTACTTGAATTAATTTTTTAAAAAGGCTGTAACTTTTACTGTCATCTTTGATTCAGTTTCACATTGAGAAAATTAAAAAAAAAACAAAAAAAAAAAAACAGATAGTAAATCCAGGTAAAGGAAATCCCAGACAGTTGACTCTTTTTCAGTCACTTGGTTAAGTGACAAAATGTTTCTCCCACTGAAAACGCTACGTCCAGATGACCAGAATCAGCTCTCTGGGGATAAATACTTTAGGCCATTGTAATTGAAGTGTGTCATTATGTGCTATACGTACCCAGCCTACATTATGCGTTTATTTGTGGCACCCTAACTGTGAACTGATAACGTGTTCTGATACACGTAACAATATTTCCTTTTTCCACGTTCAGAAGAGAAGTATTCAGTGATTTACCCGTACTCGGCCAGAGACCAGGATGAGATCGACCTGGAGAAAGGCATGATTGTTGAGGTTATTCAGAAGAACTTGGAAGGCTGGTGGAAGATCAGGTAACAACAGCTACATTTTTGTTATACAGTGCAAAATGTTCAAATACTTCTTAGTACATTGTTGATAATGGTGGTAATAGGAATGAAAATGCTAATGCATGTTACTGTACAGACTGCAGGAAGGTCCACTCAGAATTTTTTGTTTTCCTCCAGCTTTATGTTCATTATATATCAGCCACTAACTGTCCATCTCTCCTCCATTTAGGTACCAAGGCCGCGAGGGCTGGGCCCCAGCGTCCTACCTGAAGAAGGCTGACGCGCAGAAGCAGTCAGCAGGCGCTCCTCCTCATGCCAGTACAAATGACCTAGATGGGCTTTCTAAACAAATCCAGCAAAACAACGCCGCTAGAGAAAACCGAGAGAATAGCCAGAAGGAAAACAGGCTCTCGGTTTTCTCTGATAACAACAAAAGCAGTAAGTGAATTTAGCAAAACAGTGCCTCTGAGATTTAGTTTTAAAATATTAAAGCAACCAAAGCATGCAAAAGCTTTGCAAAGATAAGCTTGCACACAAGTGACTAAAACCCTTTTTCTGGCAAAGCAACGATGTGCCAAATAATACAGTTTTACCTAATGACAGTCAAAATATTTATTGTGCCAGTGGAGAAAACCTGAATGGAGACGTGTAACAATTTCCCAGAACACATATTGCTAGTTTTCAGTTGGGCTGCGAGCTACTAGAGTGATTTTGTTTTGTTTTTTGCAGAAGTGGGATCAAGACACAGACCTCCTCCACGCAGAGATCTCACCATTGTAAGAATATACCCAGTGGTGATTCTGAAGATAGCTTTCAGTGGCATAATAAATAAATAAGGTTTTCACCAGTGCAACCTTTATGTGTGCCTCTCACATCCCACAGCCACGTGGTACAAACTTACCCAAGCCACCCGTCCCTCCCCAAGTTGAGGAAGAGTTCTACACCATAGCAGACTTTCAGACCACCATCCCTGATGGTATCAGCTTCCAAGCTGGAGTCAAAGTTGAGGTGGGTTAGACACGGCCCTAAAGTTTTGCTCCTCTGAATTAAGAAAAATGGTTTTTCACTAACATTTGGTTTAAACTACATTGATACATTCTAGGTGATTGAAAAGAATGCAAGTGGTTGGTGGTACATCCAGATCGATGACAAAGAAGGCTGGGCACCTGCCACTTTTATTGACAAGTACAAGAAGACCAGCAATGCCTTGCGACCCAATTTCCTCGCCCCGTTGCCCAATGAGATGGAGAAGCTGAGGCTGGAGGATGGTGGTTGTTCGAATGTTTCAGGTACAGATGACAACTGGTCCAAGCCCTTACCAGATGAGCCAAATGCAGCCTCTGAGTCCTCTACACGCCCAAAGCTCAGAGATTGGAAGTCCAATGCCAGCAAGGGGCCCTCTTTCTCTGGGCCTTTGCCCCCAGCCCCAACTGCACCTCCCGCTGAGGAGAAACCTGCTCTGCCGCCTCGAAGAGAGTCTATTAATAAGAGCTTTGAATTGGAGGTAGCAGAGAAATCGAGGCCAGATAACTCCAAACCTTTGCCTCCAAAACCCCCAGCTCCTGGGGTCATCATGCCACTGGTTACACCTAAACCTCCCCCCTTCAAATCAGACAAACCCCCAGAGGCCAAGAAAGATGAAAAGAGCAAAGCTCTTTACCTTCGAAATGAGATGGGTCTTGAATGTGGCCACAAGATCTCTGCCAAAGAGGTGAAGAAGTTTAATCTGAAACCTGTACCTAAACAGCCACCAAAACCCAAGCCAGAATCACAGGAGGAGAAAACCGAGGCACCGGGCCCAGCTGTGTTTATGAAGGCAAAGCCAGTGGTCCGACCTAAACCCGTTACAGCTGCCAAGCCAGATCCCCCAGGGGAGAACAAGGTAGACATCACCAACTTGAGAAGCAAGTTGAGACCATCTAAGCCAGCAGATGCTAGCTCAACAGAGGTGAACCATCAGAATGACGCCTCGCCAGCAATAAATAGTTCCCACACAAGTTCACCCCCTAGCTCTCCTCCAGTGAGCATCCCACCTCTGAATAACGGTAAGTATTCTAATGAGCCAAAACTTCCACCAAAACACATCAATGGTCATGGCCAGGAGAGCTCATCGCCTCTTGCAAAACCAGCAGTGCCTCCCCACAAGGAACCCCCTCAGAGACCGCCGGCCACGGTTCCAAAAAGACCACCCCCTCCAAAGAAAACTGATCCATCAAGTCCAACTGAACTTAAATCTCCACCAACTCTTAAAGAAACCCAGGACGTTCCCAAGGCTGGACCACCACAGCTCAGCAGACCACCTCCCCCAAAACCCAAAGGGTTTCAGGCACCAGCAAGCAAAGAGAAGGAAGAGCCCAAGGTGAATAAAGTCCCAATTCCTCCAAAGCCCCAGCTGAAGCCTGGGCCACCCAAGGATAGGCTTCCACCTTTACTCAAGGAGCCCAGCAAGGATGAGCTGTATCTTGCTGTGGCAGACTTTGAAGGGGATGAGCAAACATCCAGCTTCAAGGTGGGCACAGTGTTTGAGGTTCTGGAAAAAAACAGCAGTGGCTGGTGGTTCTGTAAAAACGTAGGAGAAGAAGTCGAGAGCTGGATCCCCTCGAATTACCTGAGCAAGAAACCTTAGGAAGTAAATGTGCTCGCACACATCGCCATATGAACATATAAATAACTTAATGATCTAAATGAACAAGATCTCACTAATTTCTTGCTACTTAGCCTGTTTTTTTTTTTTTTTTTAATTTATAGGTACATTTTTTATTGACACATTTTGTTTTGTTTCATTTTTATACAAATATTTTACCTACCAACTGAACCAGCAATAACACATGACCTTGTTGGGTTTTGTAATGTTTACTTTTTTTATTTTATGTCAACTATATATGAAATCTTAGGTTAAAAAAAAAAGTATCTTGCTTTTGCTGCCGTATGTTAGTCACCGTGTCAGTCTCGCCATTTCTCGGGCTAGAAACTAGAAGAAGCAGTAAATGTATCTACACCCTTGCCTTTTAATATATGGTGCCTCAATATTATATGCGAAGTGCTTCAGCGCTTATTAAACGGTATGCAATGGTAGACGTAGTCCTTGTTGGAGTCTTGGAGTCATTTTACTATAAAATCAAGAATCGCATTATACATCGCAAGAGTACAGAGTAGCCGTTTAAATTAACTCACTGGGGGAGTTCATTGACTACATCTGAACTTTCAAGCGCTAATAGTTGGTTATTTCTTTGCCCAGTGCTGTTTGTTACCTTGGAGATATATTAGCGTTTCCGTGTTGTATTGCTTTTATTCTGACTGCATAATTAATGTTGCAACGAATTGTAACAGATGTGCACTTTCAGTCATTTCAGCTGAAGTTTAAGGTTTGCACACACTGAAAGAAAGGGGAGAATGCCACGGTGCATTTAGTTTTCTAAGCCATTTTCAGACTGCTTTCTTTTTTTATGTTGTTGTTATCCTCACTGTAGCAAAGAGGCTATATTATCCAAACTGAGAAGGCAAGAAGGGTCTATATATCAAAGTATTTTAACATAACTGTTCTCAGAGCCATCAGTGGGATTTGCAAAATGTGAACGGCAGAGCACATCTGCCTATTTGACATAGCAGTTGAATACCTACAGTCATTTGTGCAATGATTTACAGTATTGTAAATGTACAATCTGTTCGTAACCGAAGTGTGGTGCTCAGATAACAAAGTATGACCGTTGTATAAGAATAATGTTTTACATTGACGCTTGACTGGTCTCAAGCATGGTCGGTGAAACAAATTATTTTTTATTGTACAGAAATGAGTCATATCTTAACTATTGTCACTTTTTTTTTGATGTTCAATCTATTTTATCCCCCTCTGTGCTGATCAAAGGGTTAGAAGAAGAAAGTTTCAAGAAGGTATTTGGTTGTTGATTTGGTTGTTGATTTGGTTGATGATAGGATTTGCTCACTTATTGGGTAATTAAGAAAAAGGTTTGGGGAAACAACTGGCTGGTAATCTAACAATTGGTCCATATCTCAAGTGTTTACAAAGTACCAATTGTCTGACACTAAAAAAATAAAATCTGTTCATAGTTATGGAGATAATTAGACAAGGCTGCAAGCTGTATAACACTAATTCTGTTCTGCTTGTAGTTGCTATAATGTTATACCATCTTCCAATCATACCAAAGTATGTTACCAACTTAAAAAAAAAATCCTAAAGTGAAATTGTGGGAAAGGACAGAGAAGTACAGTAGTACAGTACAATGCAAGGCAAGTGTATAGGTGGATGGGGTTATTTCAGTATTGTAAACAGTTTACTTTTTTGCTATGTGTTTTCATTACAGTGTATCTGCTTTTGCTTTAAGTCAATAAAAGTTTTGTGATTTTCCACTTCAGATGCCCCACTGCTTCCACTCAGTGTTTAGAGTTTGATTTATTTGGGTTGTAGCTCCTTCAAAACTGCTTAAATTCTTCGTTGCACAAATTCAACGAGGTATTGGAAACATTTCTCAGAGATTTTGATCCGTGTCGACATGGTAACATCAGTGATACTTCAGATTTGTCAGCTACACATCTGTAATGTGAATCTGCCATCTCAAAATGCCATCTACTGATATGAGATCTGGTGATTGTCGAGGGATTTTCCTGTTCAAGAAACCCTCACCACTATGTGTCAGACAGTATGGATCCATGATTTTTGTGGCGTTTACACCAAGTTTTGCAGCATAATTGGGACTCCTTATAGCAGACAATATTCCTTCAATCTTCTAAATCTGTGTGAATTGTTGCCTCAGTTTTCTGTTCTCAGCTGGTGTGCTCTTCTGCTGTAACCTATTTGTTTCAAGGTTACATGTCTGAGCTACTGTTGCTCTCCTATCAGCTCAAAGGAGTCTGGCCATTCTCTCACCTCTGGCATCAGCTGGGCATTTTCTCCCAGAGTACTGCTGCTCACTGGACATTGTCCTCTGTCCACTCTGTAAACGCTAGAGATGGTTGCATGGGAGATTATATGCTACCATGTGATTGGCTAATTAAACATTTGGATTTACTAGCAATTGAACATTTGTATCCAATGAAGTGCGTGGTGAGTGTAACAAACTGCAATGTTCTCGCTTCAGTTCCTCCAGCTTTAGCACTGCTACAATGAATGACTGAATTTGCTATACTATCTAACATAAGTTACATAAAAACATCCTGTATATAGTCACACTCCTGCGTACCCACGATACTTGGTTCTTTTTAATAACCTTTCCTTGTATGTGTGTTTATATATAGAGGAGTTGACACTGGATTTTTAATCCCATAAATATTTTTTAACCAACTGTTTAAAAAAAAAAAAAAAAAAAAAAAGATTATATCAGCTGACAGTCTTGATGCGTTTTCCAGTAGAACAGGTGGTATCATGTTACAAAGAATCTCCACAACAATCCAGCAATTATAAAATCTGCATTTATTTACAACAGTGGTTCCTTCTGAAAATTTTTATTCATACAGTCCCTCCACACAAATAATGTTATGTAAACTAAGGCAGAGAGTTAGAGATACAGAGCCAGTAAACAGTTAGAAAAGAATTGTAAATGTAAATACTTCTGATATAAGAGAGATTAAGCTGTACCTGATTGTGGACCTGATTCAGTGTAAATCTGCAGGCCAACTGCAGTTAGCTGATGCAAACTGCTCCAATAAAACCGCTCCTCACTCAAGAAATCATGATTTTCAGCTGCAAACTTGCTTTAAGTAGAAGATTAAACAGCTAGAGGCATCTTACAACAGACTGAATTGTTGCACTCCCTTAAAATGATATGAAGAACTATTGTGTAAAAACCTAAATTATTGCTATTGAATACCTAAAAATTATAAAATGGTTAAATCACTCTTAACCAAAGGCTTTTATTCACCTCCCAAAAAAAGTTAACATATATATTTTTGGGTTTAAGCTCTTCATGTTATTCTCGCTCTCAGTGCAAAGGAAGGCAAAGTTTAAGAAAAATAAACCTCTGTAAGCTTAGCAAAAACATATAATATTGCACATTGGTTAGCATTTACTGCATGTTGCATAACAATTCAAATTTAACTCCCCTCTATAACATCCTGGAGAGAGGGGAAAAAAAGAAAAGAAAAAAAAAGCAAACAGCTCTGGCTTTGTCAGTTCCCATCCAGTGTGACTGATTTCTACAGTAATGATACAACAGAAAAAATAACTGAGCAATACTGAAAAAAACCAAAAACAAACTTGTGTTCCCTTATTAGTTAACAACTAAATCTTAAAAGAAACCATAAAATTCAAATATACATTGCATTCAGCCTTATCCCTCATTTAAAAAAAAGATACAAAATCATCACATCCTTCATACCATGATTAAAAGACAAAGTAAATCAAAACTAAATAGGGGTAAGCTGTATAATGTTCTTTGAGTAAAAATAAATAAAGGCAAACTTTGGCAGCAAAGGCAAAGTAAGGCACAGAGAACATGAAATTAAGGAAAAAAAAAAAGAAAAAAAAAGAGAGATTCAGTAAATCAATACATTTCTAGAGGAGTTTTTGGTCTTATTTGAAAGATAACCTTGAAAAATTAAGGTAAGCAAGTACTCACTTACTAGGTCGTTAATATTTATAGCATTCCTTGTTATCGTGGAAAAAATGATCTCTGGCTGGGTGCTTTGGAAAAAAACAAAAAAACCTGTTGCCTAAGCATAAGGTGGTTTTTCTGAATATTTGATTATTAAAACAGATAATTTGGTATCTTCAGCTCACCCCAATAAATGGCCTTTGTATCACATTATTGAGAAATCTGAAG